TATTTTCAAAGTTAGATCATTGATAGCTGTGCACATAATAGACTTAAAGGCTATCTAGTTTCCAAAGAGTCATCTACACAGAATAGTTTTTGGATTAAATTCTCTTTGGATTTAGAAGGTTTAAAAAACATCACACACTATGCCTTTCAAGGATGATGAAGTGTTCTAAACCCTGTAATAGACTGGCACTGTATTATATTTTATAATATTTTGCACTCTGAGCCCCTTTCATTATAGGATCACTGAAGCTCTTCATACACTTAACACTTCTTTGAGGTGAGTAGGGTGAAATGGAGGAGGAGGAGGTTAGGAGACTTGTTTAAAGTAATTCTTTAGCAGTCAGAATTAGAACCCAAGAACTGTAAGTCAGGAATTCTTGTTCTATGCAAGACTCTCTCTATTTTATGTGGTTTGGGTTTCCTTGCAAATTCCAGAGTCTGACTACAAAAGCAGTTGGAAATCCATTCACAATCTAGTTCTGTGTATTTTAAACTGCTGCATGCAGGTCTTCTAGGCTCATCTTTAGTTGAAGCAAATTAGGGTTGTCGATTAATCGCAGTTAACTCACATGACTAACTCAAAAAATTAATTGTGATTAAAAAAATTAATTGCAATTAGTTGCACTGTTAAACAACAGAATAGCAATTGAAATTTATTACATATTTTTGATTTTCTACATTTTCAAATATATCTATTTCAATTACAACACAGAATACAAAGTGTACAGTGCTCACTTTATATTTTTATTACAAATATTTGCACTATAAAAATGATAAAAGAAATACTATTTTTCAGTTCACCTCTCTCAAATACTGTAGTGCGAACTCTTTATCATGAAAGTGCAACTTACAAATATAGACTTTTTTTGTTACATAAGTGCACTAAAAAACAAAACAATGTCAAACTTTAGAGCCTAAAAGTCCACTCAATCCTACTTCTTGCTCAGCCAATCACTAAGAGAAACAAGTTTGTTTACATTTACGGGAGATAATGCTGCCCACTTCCTAATTACAATGTCACCTGAAAGTGAGAACAGGCATTCACATGGCATTGTTGTAGCCAGTGTCGCAAGATATTTACGTGCCAGATGTGCTAAAGATTCATATGCCTCTTCATGCTTTGGCCACCGTTCCAGAGGACATGCTTCCATAGTGATGACACTCATTTAAAAAAATGTGTTTATTAATGAACTTCTTGGGGGAGAATTGTATGTCTCCTGCTCTGTTTTACCCACATTCTGCCATATGTTTTATGTTGTAGCAATCTTGGATGATGATGCGTCCGATAAAGTGAGCTGTAGCTCCCACACAGATTCTCTTAGTTCTAGGCAAGTTACCTCTCGATATGCTTCTCTGTTAAACAGGGATGACAATGTGTACGTGACTATCTTATGGGGGGCGGGGGTTGTATGAATTAGTTACTACAGAAAAAAGCTTATTAATGAGTCCTCTTTATGTACTTTAACCCATATTAACCAAGAGCAAGGCTAAAGTTTATTATTAACTCATTTATTGGATGCCTAACAAAAAGCACGATATGAAGTAAATACAAAACTGCCATGCCGAATTCTCATCTTGATCAAACAGTCAGCTGGCATGGGGAAACCAACTCCTCTCCCAGGTTAAGAAAGGGATCTGTTCCCAAATAAATATGACTGGCAAGTAATAAAATAATATCCTCAATAAGGGCTTGTCTACGCTGCAATGTGAGCTCAGGGTTAGCGGAACTCATGTTAACAGACCCTGGATTTGTTAACCTAGGGCTCAAGCATCTACACTCTTTTTGTAACCCCAGATTAGGAATAGTTGAACCCTGAGTCCCAACCTGGGGCTTCAGGGTCTACACTGCACTACGTGGGCCTGAGTCCAAGCATAAATATCCCAAACTTTCTAGTGTCCTCCCAAAATGTGGCTGCTCTAGCCCTTAGGTCATGGTGCGGTGCTGGAAAACTTGTCTGTCCACTGAATTTGACTATCCAAAGGACAAAGAAAATCAGCCCATGGGATTTTGGGTTAATTTTGGTGGATTCCCAGAGCACTAGTCAAGTGGGGCTATGTCTACATTGCAGAACAATAGAGCTTGAACCCTTGGTCTAGGCTTGACTCAGGTTTGGACCTTCCACCCCTGAGGGGTTCTGAAATCATGAGTCCTGTGTTAGCACAATTTGTGTGTGGACAGAAAGGGGTTTGGCTTGAGCCTGAGTTTGAACTCTGGCTTCCATTGTGATGTAGACATACACTACAAGGCTTGAAACAGATGGTCCTTGCAACATGCTATAAGGGTAGGAAATGGAGGACTTCCTCTTCTGAAGAGTGTTCAGGAAAGGACTGTCTGTCAAGAAGGCTTGATCCTGGCCAAACTAAGCTATGATGAGTGCTCCTGGTTGCTACTATAATACCAATGATAAATAATAAGCCAGACCCATCCTGACTGGTTGTCACTGCTGGACAAGAGCATACAGTGAGAGGTGATTGCTCAAATGTAAAATGCATATATGTTGAGGAGCAAGTGAGTGAATTTTGTTTGAAGTCTGAGACATTAAAAACAGCTGGTCATCTAAACAACGGTCACAATCACACTTTTTATAGTAGATGCCAGTTTCTTCCAATATGAATGGCAATAATGAGTGCATATAACCTGGCATGATGGTGTGTGGACTGGGGTGACTGAATTCACCGTTTCTCCCAGGACCAACTGTAATGATGCTAAAAGTTACAGTTTTCAGAGTAGCAGCCGTGTTAGTCTGTATCTGCAAAAAGAAAAGGAGGACTTGTGGCACCTTAGAGACTAACAAATATATTTGAGCATAAGCTTTCGTGAGTCACACACGAAAGTCACAGTGTACGTAGAGCCCTCATTGCAATCAGATATTAGATGGCCGATAATCAGGACTAGGTTTCCCTTTAAGGTCGAGCAGCCTTATTTTAGTAAGGTATTTTAGGGGCATCAACTTTTTTGGACATCTTCACCTCGGAAACATGAAGTCTTTTCGTGTGTGGCTTGGCTTTACAGTGATTTGTGTTACCACTGATTTTTCTTTCACTGGATTACATTGGTGTTTTGTGGAGTATTCCCATTTCAGCCTATAAATTGTCCCAAAATATTGGGCCTATTGCTTCCAATAATAATTTTTTTGGGAAAAAATTATGCTTGGATCACATAATCTATTTAAACAACTAATATTTTATGTAAAACAATCTCAAAGTAGCCTGGAATTTTCAGCTTGATCTCCTGTTCTTCTGTAAAGTACTAATCATTTTAAAGAGGTTCAGGCTGAATTCATTAAATGAGAGAAGTTGAGTTTTGGGCTCGGGTTTTTGGATCTGGTTTACTACACCTCTAATTCTAAGGACCTCCAGGGCTTATTTTTAATAGCCATCTCCCAGTGTTTTAAAGAAATACATTCTAAATGTATTGCAATGTGTATTTTAATTACAATTCAGTAAATCAAAATGATTTCTGGGGTGTATATACAATACAGACGTATAGGAAAAGCTAAAGTGAATTTTATGAAATTGTACATTCTTGCAAAGAGAGGGTAATAATTCCATTGTTCTATTTGGGCCCATTTTATCAAGTTTCTTACAGATACAGGAAATTATTTGTATTGCAGTACAAGTCCCAGCTGCCCCAATCAGGATCAGCCCCTACTACCCAAACAATCCATCATCCAATTTTGCAAATCCTCACAATCTGAATTTAGCATGGGATGAGTGTTTTCAGGACTTAATAATTGTCTTTTTTAAGACAACTCAGTCCACTTCAAATAGTGTTATGCTAATAACAGTAAGCTTGGGTCTTTCACAATGAGAAATTAGTCTAGCTCTTCATGTGTTGACAACAATTTCATGACAAATGTGTGAAGTGTTGCCAAATATGGTGCACATAACACGGTCATACTAAATATTAATCTCCCAGACAATGTATAACAAAAGGTTGAAACTGTAAATGGAGACTCATAATAGAGGCAGTTAATTTTCTTCTATTTTTTCACTTCTCCTTTCTTCCTCATTTGCGGTGGCATTTATGGTTGTATTTGGTCTTTCTCATTTTGTCTGATGCATCATATTATCTGCTTTAATGGTTTTGTATCCTAAATTGTTAATTCCTGTAGAATAATATATGCAATATCTTACTCACTACATTAGACATGGGTTCAGTGTTGTTTCTGAGTACATTTAATCTGTATCTTTGCTGATTTTTCATTCTGTGTAAAGAATTTATACCTGATACGAAAATTCTAGATTTTTTCAAAATTGCTGCTGAGCTAAGCAACTTGAGGTTGATAACAACATCTGCCTTTGGCATGACATTAATTTTTAATCTGTATTTTGTAATACCCAAAGATATTCAGTAACACACACTTTCAACCACAGTGCAGGATATTCTTGGTGTAGCTTCATGAAGTAAACAGAGTTACATGAGGGATGAATGTGGTCTAATCTGAATACATCAGTTAATAAACTGATGAAAGGGGAGAGTGTCATGAAAGGGGAGAGTGGTGTTGACCTGAACAAGAATTCCGTGGAGCTTGAAAGCTCCTCTCTTTCAAAATATTACCTAATCCACCTTGTCTGTGTCATGTATCCTGAGATCAACATGGCTACAACAAAACTGCAAACTTAAATTACAGTCAGTCTAAAAAAAGTTAAGTAGTTTCAAGCTCTACATCTGCCCCTGAGTCTCCCTAGCCACTCAGTTTTGCAATCACAATTTCCTATATTTCAAGTCGTGTGTTTTTTTTTTTTCCTTCTCTGGTGCTGTGTCCTAGATCTACACACACAGAGGGAAACTGACTAATTAGTCCAACAAGCAAAGAAAACAAATTTAAAAAATAGAGTATACTTTTTCCTCTAATCTTTTTCAGTTCTAGTCATAATTGTAGCAATAACAGATAAACTTCTCTGACAGTAGTATGATTTTTAAATTGACTGTTGTCATAAATATAAAGGGAAGGGTAAACCCCTTTGAAATCCCTCCTGGCCAGGGGAAAGCTCCTCTCACCTGTAAAGGGTTAAGAAGCTAAAGGTAACCTCGCTGGCACCTGACCAAAATGACCAATGAGGAGACAAGATACTTTCAAAAGCTGGGAGGAGGGAGAGGAACAAAGGGTCTGGGTCTGTCTGTATGCTGCTCTTGCCAGAGACAGAACAGGAATGGAGTCTTAGAACTTTTAGTAAGTAATCTAGCTAGGTATGTGTTAGATTATGATTTCTTTAAATGGCTGAGAAAAGCATTGTGCTGAATAGAATAACTATTTCTGTCTGTGTATCTTTTTTGTAACTTAAGGTTTTGCCTAGAGGGGTTCTCTATGTTTTTTGAATCTAATTACCCTGTAAGATATCTACCATCCTGATTTTACAGGGGGGATTTCTTTATTTCTATTTACTTCTATTTTTTATTAAAAGTCTTCTTGTAAAAACTGAATGCTTTTTCATTGTTCTCAGATCCAAGGGTTTGGGTCTGTGGTCACCTATGCAAATTGGTGAGGCTTTTTATCCAACATTTCCCAGGAAAGGGGGGGTGCAAGTGTTGGGAGGATTGTTCATTGCCCTTAAGATCCAAGGGTCTGGGTCTGTAGTCACCTAGGCAAATTGGTGAGGCTTTTTACCAAACCTTGTCCAGGAAGTGGGGTGCAAGGTTTTGGGAAGTATTTTGGGGGGAAGGACGCGTCCAAACAGCTCTTCCCCAGTAACCAGTATTAGTTTGGTGGTGGTAGCGGCCATTCCAAGGATAACGGGTGTAATATTTTGTACCTTGGGGAAGTTTTGACCTAAGCTGGTAAAGATAAGCTTAGGAGGTTTTTCATGCAGGTCCCCACATCTGTACCCTAGAGTTCAGAGTGGGGAAGGAACCTTGACAACTGTGTTCCTTTTTAAGTTGGAATAGAACTGCTCTGATTCCTTGCCTCTCATCAAACTAAGAGTAAATAATCATATAGTGATATATATAATATATATATATTTTCCATAGCATCTAAATGACTTTGGAGTAGAGCTGAGCTAACAAGAGTAGGTTTTTCAGTTGAGGGGAAACTGAAAAATCAGGGAAAAAAAACCTGGTTCGGGTAAAACATTTTTTTTCTTTCATAATTGTCAAATCAAAGAACAAATAAAATTGCTTTTGAGATGACTGAAATGTTCTGAGACAACCAAAAACAAAATTTCCAATTCTTTTCAAGTCAATCAAAACATTTTGGCTGACTCCTAACAATTTTTTGGGGCATCTTTCTTTTTAATTCAGCTGTGTCGGGCATTTTTTTGCCCTTTTTGTGGTGGTTCTTGTTTTTTAATTTGCCATATTTGAAATAAAAATGCTGTTTTGAAACTAAGTAGAATGAAAAGTTTTGAGACTTTTGATTTTTTTTCCAGCTGAAGCTTTTCATTGAACTTGACCCAAAATTCAGCAAATAATTTCAGGCCCCCAAAATACATTTTTCAGGGAGGGGAGAGAGGTCATTTTTTTTTTTTTTTGGTCCAGTTCAATTAGGAGCACAAATGCCATTGAAAGCCAACACACTTCTGTGATAGATAAAGGGGGGGGGATAGCTCCCTTTGATGGACACCCAGCCTAGCAGTTAGCTGTAAAATCCCTCTTGGTAGCTATTCTTTACTTGCTTTATCTGTAAAGGGTTAAAAAGTTCCCCAGGTAAAGGGGAAAAAAAATGTGGGTACCTGATCAAAAGAGCCAATGGGAAGGTAGAACTTTTTAAAATTGGGAAAGAAATGTTCCCTTTGTCTGTTGCTCTCTGGGTTGGAGGGACAGAGCAACCATGCTATAAGCAGCTTAAGCCAGGTATGATCAGATCATGCTTAGAACTACTTATCTGAACTCTAAATGTATCAGTAAATCAGAATGTTTAGCTAGACGTGATTAGGGTTATTTCTTACTGGCCTGTGTATTCCTCTGTGCTAATCCCAGATGCTTTTGTTTGCTTGTAACCTTTAAGCTGAACCCCCAAGAAAGCTATTTTGGGTGCTTGATTTTTGGAATTGCTCTCTTAAAATCTAGCAAAAACCTAAATTCCAAATGTTTTTTCTTTCTTTTTATTTTTAATAAAATTTACCTTTTTTTAGGAACAGGATTGGATTTTTGGTGTCCTAAGAAGTTTTTGCATGTTGTTTGATTAGCTGATAGCCACAGCTAATTTCCTTTTTGTTTTCTTTCTCAGCTCTTCCCTGGGGAGGCGGGGGGCTTGAGGGTACCCCACAGGGAGGAATTCCCAAGAGCTCCTTCCTGGGCTCAAAGGGGTTTTGTTTTTGGTTTTTTTTGCATTTGGGTGCAGCTTTTGCCAAGGTCAGAGAAAAGCTGTAACCTTGGGAGTTTAATACAAGCCTGGAGTGACGAGTATTAATTTTTAAAATCCTTGCAGGCCCCACTTCTTCACTCGGAGTGACGGTTGGGATTCAGCCTTGACAACTTCTATATCCCTATTTCATCTATGGGTCTCAACACTTTATGCAGTTGTGTTTTTGTTATCCCATTGTACAGATGGAGAAACTGAGGTGCAGGGACATTAAATGACTTGCTTAAGGTCACAGAGAGAGTCAGTGTTAGAGCAGGGAATAGAATCTGTCTCCTAACTCCCATTTTTGTGGCCCTATCTGTTGGACTATGCTGCCTCTTATGAGGTTGGAGAAGTTTGTTGAAGGGCACTTTCCCAGCTTCTTACTAATGATAGAAAGTATTTTTGGTGCTAACCTACTCCAGCCCAGTCTCATCACAGGGCAGCAAGTAGCTTGTTTCTCCAGTCTCTCATTTGGCCTGTTCTTTAGGGGAAGCCTGTTCTGGTTCAGCAGGACCCAATAAAGTGCACATTGGTCTCATGAAATCTTTCCATTCCCACCAGAATATTTAGGAAATCAGAAAGGGGAGGATAATGGAGTAGTGCAGTATAGGGTAGCCAAGCTGCATGGTTAGAGTGAACCAGATTTACTTCTGGTGTGACTCTAACAAAGTCGGATGAATTTGGACTAAAACGTGTGTGTCCTGTGAAATATCTTGTTAACGCTAATGTTTGAAAGCTCTCAATATATTTGCTGGAATGACTATTACACGAATGTGTCACTGACTTTCCACATCAGGCCATCTTGGTTGGTTTTGTTGGTTGGTGTGGAAGCATGGAGGGTGTGCCCACTGGTAATGGAAACTGGCTGTCTCATTCAGCAATCCTTTTCCTTAACCAGCTTTGACCAGAATGTTGCCAACGGCTGAAGTCGCAGGTCTCTCTGCTGGAGTGGAGGAATGACACTTTCCAAGAGATCTGAAATGTATATCAGTAACCTCCCTTATGACCTTCCACTGGGATCATACTTGAAAGTGGGATATACAGTAAGTGGGATATACAATAAAAACTTATTGGTTGAAATTGGTTAAATCCACATTTAAGTTAATAGCAAAACTCACAGGGTCTTCAGTGTGGTAAAGAGTCATGCGTTATTTCCACCTCCCATGTTTATTTTAGAACATGCAAAATCAACTGCAGGCATTAAACTATTGGATACTATTAAACCTATTTGTGTGTTTTCTTTGAAGGAAGTAGTATTATGTTTTGGATGTCCTTGAGAAAGACCAGCTTGTAATTTGTGCAGTCCCCCAAAGGGAAACTTTACTGATAACTTGTACAACAATTCAAGCAATAAGCATTGTTAAATGTGTTTATAACTTCATGCAGGGGAACACTTTTCACACAGTATGTTTTTGTAATTGTGCCATTGCTTCACCATGTTGTCTCTGCACTCAAATGTTTTTCTCTTATCTCTGTATTGCTACATTGCTAAATGATTGGGCTGCAATTGCAGGATATCTTTTCAGGTGGAATAAAGAGAATGTGAGTCTGAATAGTGTTCAGAGTAGCAGCCGTGTTAGTCTGTATCCGCAAAAAGAAAAGGAGGACTTGTGGCACCTTAGAGATGAACAAATTTATTTGAGCATAAGCTTTTGTGAGCTACAGCTCACTTCATCGGATGCATGCAGTAGAAAATACGAACTCCAGTTGTCATCCAAGTTTAATTTCCCATTTTAACTCTGGCTTCATCTCCCTATCTAAAACACCATGGCTTTCCTGAATAGAGAGAACCTTCTTGATGTTTTGTCAGCTCAGGGGCTTCATAGTGGCAATGTTATTTCACCGTAATGGATTGGCCTCTATATGAAATGAATTTGGCTTGGTTCATTTCTTAGTGGATGTGGGGGAGTCAGCATTCACAAAGCTATCATCTACTGCAGTTAGCATAATTTGACCACCAGCTCTTTGGGGCAACCAGCTCTCTGTGTGTGTGCGCATACGTGCATACATACAAAGCACCTAACATGATGGGGACCCTGATCTTGACAGCTGCTACCAGAATGCAATAAGAACTGTTGGCAATTTCTGGAGGAGACAATAATAGAGCCCTAGAAGCTAGTCTCCTACTGATCGGAGCAGAGGAGCTGTGGCCTGGAAGTGCAGTATTTCTTTTCTGAACCTGATGCTCCAGTGCTGTTGATAAATTCATCTGTGCAATAAATAAATTTAAAAAAAAATAAAAATCCAGTGTTCTTCAGTATATTGTGGTTCACTTGGAATAGTTGTTTTGGGTAACCATAGACTGAAATGGTGAAGAATCACAATGAGTTCTGAGACTTTGACCTGCTTCTACTTGCCCTTCGTGGAGAGCATGGAAACTTTCTTAGGAAGCTTTTCTGACCTCCCGCTCTCTAATACATTGAACTGCGTTTAAATTAGTTTTATAATAGATATTGCTTTACAATATCAGCCAAATTCATGCCTGATGCAACTCTGCTGACTTCATACATTTAGTAAGGATACAAATGGATGAGTCTGTCTGCAGACTATATACTTGGGCTGCATGAAGGAGACAAGACAGTCTTGAGGTGTTCCAGATGGGTTTTGCTGAGGCTCTAAGCTTCAGACCTTAGTACAAAGGAGGGTGAGAATCCTTTGGAGCTAGGGGGAAAAGAACACCGGTAACTGGGACCATTGTACTTTAGGAGACGAGGGAGAGAGCCTCATGTCAGGTGGAGACTTTGTTTCTTCTCCTTAATTGTAATTTGGGGAGCTGCAGCTTGGCCATCACTTCTCAGCCCCTTGTTGGGAAGAGGAGGAAAGTCTCACTGTTGTCTGCCCAGTTCAGAAGTGATAATAACAAGCTGTAGAGAGGGCCATGTCCAGCTTACATCACCTGAGGGAGGGAGGATTGGGTGAGGGAGTAGGGCGGGGAGGGAGAAGGTTTCCTTAAGTGAGGAAAGGAATACATTCTCCATGTCTTATGTCGTGTGGGGGATCCACCAGTCAACTGCATAGCTGTGGAGGGGCCAGTCTTGCTCCATGAGGCCTTGTGTTAGTGGACAGGCAGGAGTGGGGGAGGAGGCGGAGAAGATATCTAGCAGAGGGTGGCACATCCTCCCAGACAAGTGAGGCACAGCCGAACGAAGAATTACCAAATGCTACAAAATACATTTTGCATATTCTTTTTTTATTTAATTGAGAAAGATAACAATATTTAAGGACAAATTGTGATTTGATTGAAATGTCGCAACTCCCTCTCTCCAGTAGTGAACCACAATGCCAGAAAGCTCAAAGAGTGTAGTGCTGCATGAGACTCAAATCTTGTTATAGCTAATAGTGACTCATGAAGCGGACCTGTTACCATGACAATTTACTCAGCCCAGGAGTCCCTTTTATAAGGGCACTGCTGTGTTAACAACTGCTTGGTGAGGCCGCAGCAGGACTGTAGCCATTAAACTGGGGCTGCAGGGCTGGGGCAGGAGGCTGTCCTGTAATGCCCTGGACCCCTCCTCCACATAGCAGGCCCCACATGTGCTCATGAGGAGCCCAGAGTGATGGCTTGAGCCCACCCCAGTCTGCCTATAAATTGCTAAGTTTTTAATAGCTATATTAATTATACATTGGGCAGGGGATGGAAATAACTAACTTGTGATTTGTATCTCGCCTGTCAAAAAAGTCTCCAGCCACCACTGGAATCCAACTGGGTTTAAGATAGAGCTTGATAAGTCTATGAAAAGGATGATATGACATGGTTGCCTATGACAGCAGGGGACTGGACTCAGTGACCCAAGAAGTTCTTCCCATTCATCTATCCTTAGGGTAGGAGAAGCTGGCCACTCTGCTCCACAGAACCATGACTGGTTAGAGAGCTGACAGGAAGTCCCCACCCCATCTTCCTACTGCCTTCGTCTCATTGAAAGATGGGATTGCCACTTTGAAAGAGAAGTTGAGCCCTGGCCAGTAAAGCTTTAGATACATAATTTTTTATCCGATCAAAAATAATGAAACCTAACCTGTGGATCTATTGGTTCTTTTTGCAAGAACAGAAAATACAATGTTGAGTGGATTTTTCAAAAGCTAAAACTTTAAGGTGTTCAAGATCCAAATTTTATGTTTGAACCCATTTCTTCTCTTTAAGCTTAATCCAGTGCCCCCTGGAGTCAATGAAAAGACTCCTGTTGATTTCAGCAGTCTGTGAATCAGGCTTTTTATTAGGATACTACAAATCTATTAAGCAAAAGAATTTCTGAGTGGAGCATTCTTGGCAGAATAATTCTTTTTTCCACATTTGCATTAATTTTTGCCTTTTTCATTTAACCACATAACCAAACGAAACGTGTGATTTCTAAAATTCAAGTGTGAATTTTATATTTGACAAGAAACTACTTGTACTTTTATCTGTTCCTTGAGGGGAACTGCAATTCACTGGTTGAAGGCTTCCCTCCAAACACTTGACAGTAGTTTTATGTTAATCCTGGATACAGTTGCTGACACTTTGAGAGAGACTAAACATTTATGTATTATGTTATACATGTTTGGAAGCTATTGCATTAGTCATCCAAATACTTCAATTTCAGATTTCTTTTGTAATTCTTTCTGTAGTGACACTTGCTACACAACACACATAAAGAGCTGGAAGAACAGTGTATTAACTAAAATAGATTTTGAGTTAATCATCAGATGCAGACCTCAGATGCAGACCTGTAGTTCATAGAGAAGGCTTTCTATTTGGTGTTTTGGGTAATGAATTACTATTTTCAGTTGGTTACGGTAGACTTCCCTTTCTGTACTAAAGTATTGTCTAATAATATTAAAGAGTTGCTACATTCGATTCCAGCAGTGTCTGAATTTCAGTAGAGAATGAACTAATTCATCACCATAGCATGTAAAATATTCCAGGATCCTTTTGGTAGAAAGACACTAAATAAATGTAATGTATTTAACATTGGATTAAGGGAAAACTCTACAAATTTTAAGCAACATTTTAAATAGAATTGGTTGGAACGTTTCCCCAGCCTCTGTGATAAATGTTGACTTGGGGGAGGGGGTTTAGAAAAAGTTGTTCCAGCTGAAAATTTCTCATGTTGTAAATCAAGTGCCCCAGGCTCCCATTTTACTTCTTGGACAGGTTAGGTTTCCCATGAGGCACTTCAGAGACAGATTTGAATCAAAATATTCCAGTTTTGGGTATTTGTGGCTTTTTGTTTTTTAACAAAAATGATTTTTGTGTGTGTGTGTGTGAGTATGTGCAGAAACAGACCCTCTTTCACAGAACTTCTTCCTTCAGTCGAAAACTTTTTTGATGGAAAATTGGGTTTTGATGGAAAATGTTCAATTACCATTAATTTTAATACACGCTTTTATCTTTACATAATCCTTATAGCACTTGTCCTCTTCAAAGCACGGTGCAAATATAATTGACAACTCAATGAGATTATCAAACACTTTTGACTACACAGTGTGTTGAGGACCCTACCTTTTCTAACTGACCACTGTGAGATAGCCAAGTGTCTTACAGTGTAATGTTTCTTGTATTAAGTGACTACTTCACCACTCAACTGGTAGCACCCAGATACAGTAACACCCTTCCTAGAAGGTTACCTGGGCTGCTTTATACCTGATGCAGTGGATTCACATACAGGTTCTGATTCTGCAAGCACTTGTACACATGAGTGGGCCCACTGGAACAACTTGTCCTTCATAAAGTTATTCACATCCATAAGTATTTGCAGGCTCTGGACCACAGGTTATGCACAGGATACTTTGCCCTTTCCATATGCCTGTCTATTGCTCTTAGTTTTATACTGAAACACCAGACAGTTAAATATAATCTTTTATGTTAGATGAGTCTGCCTTAAATGTATGTGAAACAACGTGTTAAGTGTTCTTTTATGGAAAATACCATTTACACATGAAAACCTGTTTCTATTAAGTCTGTCAAGTATTTTATTAAAACTAAGCTGTATGTATTTTAATAGGTATATTAAAAATAACTTTCAACATGACTTCTGAGTTTCTCAAGTAAAAATCTTAGCCTGTT